ACAAGGTAAAAGAGCAAACACACCTTGGCAGCAGGATATGAGGTGCTTTGGAAAGACTGAATTTATGGTAAAGGTGGTGGGATTGTCTGGCATTTTAATGGATTGACATTTATGAAGGGCTAGCACAGGTAAAAGATCAAAGAGAATCTATTTACATTAGATTTACTTACTTTGAGGAATGAAGATAAATATTTTTACTAGATTAATACTAAAAAACCCTAAAACTGCCACACTCTACAAATGTCTTCAGTTACTCACTGAACCTAGATGGTATTTCAGACAGTTTTGGTAAGTGTTGAGAACATTAGAGAAGTGATCATAATCTGGGTTAGAATGGAAGAATAAAACCAGACATGTATATAAAGTGTTAAAGTCCAAAAGGGCTATTACAGAGAAATTAATAAAAGTAATTAGAAAACTCAAGCAGCCAATACCTCAAGGATTTTAACATTGGAGAAGCTGAAGAATTTTTTAAATCAATGGTAACTGGAAATTGCCCTCAAAATAGAAGCAGGGGGAGGGGTTGAAAGTGAGGATGGTGGAGCCAACCAAGAAGTCATCAAGAGTAGGCAGAGAACCAAAACAGGGGAGGGGAGGGAAAGGAAAATAAAAATATACCAAAAAATCAGGAGGCTAGGAAGCCTAGAACTAAAGCAAGAAATACAAGCTACATTAAAAATTGCCAGGGAAAATAAAGAATAGGCAGTTCTTCAGATATACAAGTAAGAGGGAACCAAGAGAAAAGAAATTATGCCACTATGCAGGCAGTGGAGTTCAGATAAAAATAATTCCAATATGGCTATAAAACTAAAGGGAATTACTTAGCTCAGCTTTTTGAGAACACAGAAGTTAGGTTAGCAGTGATGCAGTGGGAATATGAAATTACCACGTCTGGCTATAAAGCAAAACTTCTGGCAAAATAGTAAAGCTTCCCATAAATAAATTCAGAAGGCAAAAAGAAGTCATCTTAAGTACCAGCAAAATAAAATCCTATACTAGTTTGTGTCTTCCTGAGCCACGGAGCACTGAGCCCCACGGTTCCTAGTTTCAGATCAGTGAGGCTACTCTTCAGGGGGAAGTTTCAGTAAGTGTGTTCTCAGGACTGGCACCCACATTTACACCAATGCACAAAAGGCTGACACGAAAGCAGGAGGGTAAATGGCTGTATGCAGCGCAATGCACAGGGATTCCAGGCAGGCGGCAGCCCAGGATTTACCCAGTACTTCAGAAGATTTTGAAGAGCTAACCCACAATCCCCAGAAATCAGAGGAAAGAGCTCAACATTTCATTAGAACTTATCTGGCCAAACTCTGCAGTATAAATATCTCCAGTTAAGCTCACCCATCACCTCAGGCCCTCTTTGTAGTTGGTAGAGAGAACCAGGCATTTGGAATAAGATTCATTTGTCCTGTTTTAGCTGTTACCTTGGGGTAACACTTTCAGAAACACTTGCTTCTCTCCGCTTATGGAAGAGAGAGTACGGGACCCACACCGGGAGCCTGTGGAGACCTTCAGGTAAGCACCAGCGCCACAACCCAAGCAACTTGCAGAAGCTTCAGCAGGCCCCAGCAGGGGATACTGCAGAGGCAGCCTTGCCCACTTCAGTACAGGCAAGCTGAGGAAAACAGAAAATGCTTCATCAGAAATAAAAGCATATGTTTTATTATTCTCACTTCCTTGTTTTTTCTGCTCTAAAAATCATCATGTGTTTGTACAGTACTCTTAGCCTGGGAATGTTTTTCAGTCCGCATAAACATCTGCACTTAGTTACATTAGCCAATATCCAAATCCCAGTGAGATCTGCCCTGATTACTTTGCTGGGAGTGTTTTTGCCAGCTTCTATTCCCAGAACACACTGGATTTATAGTTATGTCCAACCTCCAGCTATGCTAGTTAGAAGACTGTAACACACATGCCCAAACTGAATTCCTTTTGTACTAGAAAAAAGTCTTTCCAGCAGGCTTAAGTAACAAGCCATTAATTTGTGTTAGCATATTTCATTAGCAGCAGGAAAGTGAACTATTGTTGGAGACAATTTTCTGGTCTGTATTTTTAATTATAGTTTGACCTACACCTTTTGTCTAATTTCCTTAATGTCTAGCCATAAAATATGACCCTAGATTCAAATACTAACAAGACCTGTTGTGGAAATTTTGCATAACTCAGCGTAAAAGAACCCAGATTTTGAGTAAATAAACCAATCAGTCCTTTGGGGGATCATGTGTGATTTTGTCTGCTGCCCTGTATAGCTACATTCAAAACATTCATAAAAACAAGGAATACGCAGTTTTGCCTGAGAAGACAAACAAAAACATGCAGAATATAAATCAAAACAAGAATCTGTAAAAAGGGTAGAGCAAGCGCTTATTAAGCCAAAACATATTGTTCCTGTGAAGAAGCCTCCTCTGACCACTGTGCTTTCTCCAACTGTACATTTATGGAGTTCCAGGCCAGAACTTTTTTGGAGCACAAGACACAAAGCATTCAGATCCCAGCAAAACTCACTGCGATCTGCCTGCCTAATTGTTGCCGAGCTGAACCTTGCCAACACTTGTGCACAAACTTAACTTCACCGCTGTGGTTTCTGCAGAATTATTCTTAGCTGTGTATTTCTTTGAAGACTTATTTTATATGACTTACAACTGCTTCAAACTGTGAATATGCAAATGAATAAATACATAAACTGATCTCCTACCCTTCTCCCCCTCCCCCCCCCCCCCCAAGATATAATCTGAAAACAAATTTTATGCATTTCTTCAAGGAAGAAAACTTTTTTTTGTTTAGGATACACTGCCTTTGTATCCAGTTTGACTCTCTCAGCCCATGCTAAAGCGCATCTGTTTTGCTTTAGCACGTGAAAACACATGTACCAGAGAAATAAAAGCTCCAGAAAAAAAGCAGCACAAAACAATTATTAAAATACAATTAAATCTTCTGAGTTGAAATACAAGTGGCGTAGCCCTGTCAACTAATGTAAGCTTACATATCATCCATTCCCATTCTCCCCTCTCAAATCCCAGCTCCTGGCTCTGAGAGAGACAGCTTTTTCAGCTCCCCGTCCCCTTCCAAAGCAGGCAGACACATGAAACACCCAGCTGCCAACCGGGCTGGGTTCAGCTGATTCTCTTTCCTTCCAGCCATTCGCCCCACAGAAAGGCAAATAGAGAGGTTTTATTCTGGGACTGGACAGCCCCTGTCAACACACACATTTTGAAGACGGGCTATTCAACGCTTCCATCGGTTAAGCGCTGCCCCGTCCAGTACCTGGCTGACTGACCCAAAGCTGCTGCTCTCCACCGCAGCCTCTTGTCCCAGAGGGGAGCCAGGGCCCAGCTGCTCCAGCTCCAGCTCCAAAATGGGCCCCTCTCCCTGGGTTTCTATAGTCAACAAAAATACCAGGGCAAGGCGCAGAGGGAGCAGGGTGACTGACGTGCCCTGACAGGCCCAGTTGTCCCTATAGAAACCCTGAGCCGCAACCCCAGGGCATTTCTTGCTCTCACTCCTGCCACTGCCACCATGCAAAGTCATTCCACTCCTTTTTATGCACTTGGGGCAAATTGCTGGCAATTTTTCTCTCCCAAGCCAATGCCTGATGGTTTTTTGTCTAGGGCTGGACCTCTGGATGAAATATAATGCTTTAGGCTCCTCAGGGCTTGGTAAAGCCCCCCTCGCTTGCTCCCTCACACATAAGTACAGAGCTTCAGAGATTATTTAACTCTAGAATGGCAAAGACTTATCTCATGGCAGCAGAATACCTACAATCCCAAAATGTTAGTAGCAGAAATGCTTACTTTTGTATCTGGTATCAGCAATTCCAGTGTGCAGAAACGCATAAAACTACCTCAGAAATGATATCTATACCAGGAAAATGCTATGTTTAGAACTGTGTTTAAGTGTTTTTAAGCATACAACATGCTTTTCTAAGCCACAGAAAATCCCTAAGAAGGATGTCTATACAATTTAAGAGAGCATAGGAAACCCATACCCAAATATCAGTTGAACAACCTGGTCTTCCACAGTCCTGATAAAGATGTTTAGTACATATAAACTCCCCCTCTCCCCCTCAAAACCTCACATGTGCACCTCCTGTCAAGGATTGTAACAGTTTATTCTAAATTTAAATTAATTGTCTGAAAATTTTCCTAATCCTTTCTCTTGAAGGGTGCCAGAGCAAAACTTACTGACCCAGAGACCCAACTTTCCGTTAGGACCATACATCATTACCAGCCTTTAATCAAAACCCTTGACAAGAGCACGCCTCCAATTTTTATTCATACCTGCAGAGGGGCTTGAGAAGACCACTACATTCTCTTTATACTGGAGATCTACAGCAGAACTTCACTGATAATCCCAAGGAAGCTATTTTTTTTCTGACATATGTGAACACCCAGGAGACTCAGTCAGTAATCTCGACAAGAATTTATCGCAACTAAATAACCAGTGTCAATTCGAAGCCACTGTTATGTCTTTTACCATATGTACATAGTGGGGGATGGAAAAGAGCAGACTTGCCATTAGCATAAAGACCCATCGTGCGTTTGTACGAGTACACAGACTCCACAACATGTGCTGGTACACAGCTCAAAGTCTCCTCTATAACTGCCGAATTATTTCATACTGTGGTAGAAGCGGGTTCTGTTGATGAGAAGACAAGCACCCAAGCTGTTGGTACTGGTCCCTTTCATGCACATATCAAGAACACTCTCATGTTATAATGGTTTAATCAACTCACGGGTTGTGCTTCCATCTGTCCCTAATACTAAGACTGTCATTAAAGCTTACAGAGTAATAATATTAATAATAATGAAAAAGTATATAAATAAGAGACAATACCTCTTCTTCTGCCTCTGTTGCAATGATCTGAATCTTCAGTTATTAGAGAAAAGGAAAACCACTGTTTTTATTTGAACAGAAGCACTAGCCCAAGTTACTCTGGAAAAGTAAACTCTTAAGTATCTCCTTGGCAGCAGGGGAAACAGAGCATCAAAGATCACATACTATTTTAAGTGTAAAAAAGGTATACAATTTTTATTTGGCAAGTTAATAAGCAAGCATTTCATTAATCCAAAACCCCACTTTATTACAAGTCAGTGTAGTTGAATTATAGCTACCCTATATGAAAGTTAATTCTGAGGTGAACAAACTGACCTACTAAACAGTTTTTATTTTTTTTTTAAGAGGTATTTTGTGAAATTAAAAATCTACTAGCTGTCAGACAACTTCAAAAACTTCTAACACAGTAAGCTTCAGAAGTATTGTTCCCACATGATATCATCTTTTTTCAGTGTTGACTGAAGTTTCTGCACATTTTTTAGCAGCTGAAGAGAGCTTCTGCTTTTCTGTCCAGGACAAGATTTAGACATACTTTCCATTACAGTGAGTGCAATCTCTTTTGCTTCCATTTGGTCACCACACTTCAGTTTGACATGAGCTGCCCCTTGCTTCATTTTCTGAGTTTTTCTCTTTAATTTCTGCACCTAGGAAGGAAGATTACTAATTAGAATGTTACATACTCAGAAGACCTACAGCTGTAAACTTAGACTTCTACAGATACTCCAAAGTAAAGATGTATAAGGGGCATTAAAAAAAAAAGTTGAAATCTACTAATCTTGTACAGAGTTATCTCCCTGTAACAGAAAGCACTACAGACAACTGACCTCACCCACACAGAAAGCGTTACAGAAAACTGACCTCACCCACACTCAATAGGTTGTTGAACCCCACCACTCCCTAAGGTAAAAATGATTGCTTGAGAGAGACAGAGTATCATCTGTTACCAATTTATATTTACAAGAGTCTTTTTCCATTTCAGATTGTACTACTCCAACAACAACAACAAAAAAACAAAAAACAAACAACAAACCTGTAAAATGTATACTGTTTATTATCAGTTACTGTATCTAAGCAGTTTACTTTGAAGCCTCATAACAGAATTAGAAAATAGAATCAATAGAGTTGATTGCTAAAGAATGGGGTTTTTAAATGTCAAGTAATAAGTCTTAACTTGCACTTGGGATGAAAAGGTCACTCCTAAAGATAAAATAAAATCAGGCTGGAAGCATTCTATATGCCAATTTAGGCTTTAAGTCCATTTCTAAAAATAATTAACTTTAATTGCATTCTAGAACATATTATTAACTGTGAAACACAGAGATGACTACAGCATTTTCGGTGTGACAGGTTGTAAAAGCAGAAATATGCATCAGATATTAAGATTGGTCTGTACAAAATAGAAATGTCTGTGTGCAAAAGCACGAGAAAAAAAACGATATAGGCCAAGGGTTACAGGAGTGGCCTGTACTGATAACCAGGGCATGATGGACAGTAATCAAACTGACAAACACAAAGAATGTGCTATTTACATCATCACCCTAAGGCGTGTGCTCTGATAAGGCTGTACCAGAGCACAGATGACTTGTCAGTAGATCTACACCCTGATAATAGGCAAGGATGACAACAAGGTTGCACCACATTGTCAGTGTTATTCCTCTTCTCATCATCCCAAAATGAAGGCAGACTGTAGCCATAAAGATACGCAAAAGGAAGAAACAAAGGTGCAGTTGTTGTCCATTGTCTCAGGTTCCTGGAGAATGAAGTCAGCAAGATTCTGAGGCAAGGAACAGTACTGTAATTGTTGTCTCCTCAAGAATATAAGAGATTTATCCAAATAACAGTTGACGTTGCCAAGAGAGGCCGTGAGGACTCAACAGTTATGTCCTTTGTCGACATTGCTAATGTGCAACCCTGACAAGACTACTTTGACATCAGCACCTTTGTGCTTGCAATTACTTGGATAATAAAAGGTTTGAGTGAATAAAATCTATCAAAGAATGAACATGAATAAAATTGGTCAGATTTAAATTAACCATCATCTCCCCCTTCCATAAGGTCTCAAACTGAGTTTTGTTTCCTGTATAAGTGAAGTTCTTAAGTGGGTCGATTTATCCTGGAACATAAGATGGAAGAACAGAAAACTATCAGACATAACTATGGATTCATTTTTTATCATATGTTCCAAATGGAATTGGTACAAAGGAGTTAAGCTGTTCATCTACTGAAGAGTGATTTTATATGGGCATGTATGAAAAGCTGTTATCTACGGCTCTAAAACAAATACTGACAGAATGTGTACAGGTTAGGGGTTAAACAAAACTGAAAGGCTTGTCTGGCTATGACTTTGGAGAAGTTATGGTCAACAGACTATTTGGTTAATGAAAACCTTCAATATTTCAGTATTATAAATGACATTTAATCTCGTCTATACAGGAATTATAGCTTCTTTCTCATTCCCCAGAGGGACGGGACACAAAGGAATGAAATCTCAACAGATTGTCTTAACACAGTGAGCAGAAGCAACAGACTGAGCAACCCAGATTCATATTGCAGAACTGCCACAGGGCAGGGAGTTTTCACACCAGCATCCATACCTAGCTGCCAGTTGTAAGCACTTTTTCTTGATCAAAAGAAGCAATTGGAGGTACAAGAACACAAGCTAGCAGCCTAATTATGATCACCCATACTGGAAGATCCCGGCTTAAGCATTCCAGTGACATTCTAGTTAATGACAACAGGAGGCAGAGTTGTGGCAGCTTTCAACTAGAGTGTTACTAGCTAGAGAGTTTACATGTTATTCTTACAGTAGACTGATGCTTTTTCAGCTTGGATATTTGTTCTCCTTTAATCTCTATTTGTTTTACAAGGGATTTCAGTTCCCGTTCCAGATCTTCACGAACTTTGGAGTCTTGAGTCTCTTGTATTTGCTTCAGAAGTTCTTGATGCTCACTATTAAAGACAAGAATGGCACACTAAGTATTCATGATAATAGTCTGTAGGATTTCTTCCAGTACTTTCAGTGTATTACAGGAGTTGCTAGCTGTTTTGTCCAGAATACAGCAATTTAGCATTATTGACCCCCTCACACAATACAAATTAATCTCGAGTATATTCACACTAGAAAAGGAAAAGTTTTTCCAGTGGGTCTGATTTTTTCATCCCAAATTTGTAGCTGATGTGCAACTTATTCATCCCCCTGCCACAGTCAAAATAACTACATGTGTAATAGTGTGCAAAAGGAGATTCTGAAAAGTGAGCAGCAGCTAGGCAGCATGGTATTTTTAATTCCTGCCCAATTTAGTGCAGACTTTGAAATCTTAGTGTAATACAGAAAATCATTGTTTAAACCAGAACATTTATAGTTTTTCTGACATATAATTCAAATTAAAATATTCTACTCAAAAAGATTTGCACTGGGTGTGATGGTTAATCATATTAACCATCTTAACTAAAAGAAATTGTGTAGATCAAACTTGATCCCTAGATATCTGTACTATTCAAAAACAGAGACCCTCTCTTAGATAAATAATCTCATTAGAAAAGTCATGGCTTCTTTTCTAACTTCTGAGTAACTGCTGCTCTTTGACAGTTCAGTTGAAGAAACTGGTTGTTGCTATTAAAAAAAAAAAAAAAGGCTGTCCTTGAATTGCCATGAGTAAGCCAAAGGTTTTTGAAGAAGAGATTGGTTGCCAGTTTAAATTTTTGACACATCAGGGATTTCAAACCAGTGTCAACATCCTAACTGGTTTAACCAACACATCCTCCTCTGTTCAAACCACAGCTCATCATGTTGACATGTCTACTATGACCAGCTACATAGCTTTGGCCCACAATTCTACAAGCTTGCATTAATTGGAAGATGCCTAAGAACATAACAAGCTGTAATCCACATTTACTTGCATGGCTAGAAAGACACATACACTCCCATCTAATGTGTTAGCTTCTTCCACACCCTGCCCATTTTCTGGCAGGAGACTGTCCCTCTTTCTCAACTCCCTTACAGGACTGGCGAGTTCTCCTGATATCAAAAAGGAAAAGGTATGAAACACCAGACTGCCACAGCACAAACAGCTATCAGATGTGCATGTATGGAGTGAACACAGAAAGAGAGAGTACAGAGGAACAGGCTAGATGCTGTGACAGGACTATTCCTGCCACAGCTGTACTAACTTATTTTACCACCCAGAGTGACTGCATGCTGCAGGCCTACTCAACATTACCACCACCTTTGCAGCCTTCTCCAGGAGAACATTCTTGGTCTACTCTGTAGATCTTAGAGTATGTTTAAAATTTCTAAAAAGCACAGGCCTGAAAGATTTCCCATTTGCTGCAGCTGTTACTTCAGTAGGAACTCAGTTAAGTATAGGATGTGGAAGCAGAAAAACCCAGCTGAAGAGCATATTGCTCGCTCACAAGATCAGTTAAACACCAGAAATAATTTTTTGAATGAGAAAAATCCTACCAGACAGGCCTGCTCAGGCCCTTCTGTCAACAAGTAGTCCTACACTTAAACCAGGCTGGTTTGACTATAGCACACCTATAGCTTCAGAGGGCTACCACTGAAGACACTTTTACCCATGACACCAGGGATGAGTACTCACAAGCTCATTTGGTCCAGCTCATCTTGTATGGCCAACAGAAGGTCCGAAAGACTTCTGGTGGTGGTAGGTGATGCGGAACAAGAGGATACATATTTTGAAAGTGCACTGTGTCCTGAAATCCCAGACGTAGCTCCTCCTTGGCTTCGTGATGAAATACGTGGATTGCGGTGCTTCATAATATACAACACACTTTGTATATTTGCACTAACAGAATGGCTGGAGCTGACAGACTTAAAGCAGAATTATTAAATGGTTTACAGAAGTGATTAACAATTACAGTAAAGAGATTCATTCAAACTGTAGATGCGAAGTTAACAAGAACATTTGATTTCACTCACTTTCCCAGCCACAAAAGGTAGTTCACCAGCCTTTACATGTAATTGTGAAAGATGTGTTTTCTTCATCGTAGGATTTCTCTGCCATAAAATAGACAGAAAAAGTAAGACAAGAACAAGCAGTGAAACGCATGCGTTTCCGTCTGGTTTAAAAAAAATAATTTCCCTACTGTATGCGGAAGGAGTAGGACTTTCCAACCAGTGAGAGAAGTAAATTTTATCCCTGGTGCATTAAGCAGAATGTTTGACAATTAGGTTGACACTGAAGAAATTGAACATTACTTACTTAAGTTTGCAAAACCTCAGTTGTAAAATTTTGACTGACCTGTAACATGTGTTGCAAAACGAATTCTCTTGATGCCAGCAATCCCCCCAAAACACACCCTCTTAAGATGCCTAGTTAAAATTGCTTTAGAAACTAATTTTGCCAGATACATTGAAAGGCAGCTAAGAAAGGACATGGGGGGATGGCAGTAAGCCTGTAACAGAGGTTACTGTCATGCTGGTAAGGGAAAGTTTTCCAGTGAGGTGCTACCAGCCCCAGCACCATTTTAATTACAAAAGGGAAAAAAAAAAAAAAAGGTATTCAGCACTGTTCATCACTTTGGAAATGGAGTAAAGTGCAGCAGACAAATCAAGTGCCTCTTACATCACTGTTTTTCACAAATTCCAATCTCTGTGCGTGTTAGATGCTATCAGCAACAGTATGCTAATAAAAACTTTCATGTTACCTTCTTAGTTTTTTTCTTCTTCCTGTTTTGCTTTTTATGTTCATTTTGAGATGTTACTGAAGACATCAAAATTCTGTTTATCTGAAATCCTGTTTGAAGCTGTGGGAATAAGCAAAAATGAAAACAACCATTTAATGTAATATTAGAAGTATGAAATCACATAGTTTAATTAATTCCCTCTTTCATGCATGGATGAGAACCAATTAAGGGCATTATTAACTGTCCTGCTTGGAAGGCATAAACTACACTTAAAAACTGAACAGATTACTAGGATGGCAAGATATCAGGCAGATCTTGCAGCTCTGTCTTAGAAGTTCTCATTTTCATATTCAGCTGCAGCAGCTGTATTTTTCCACTGTGACAACCAGCAACTGAGATAAGCCAATCCTGCCACATGCTGGGGATCTGATCATAAAATCCAAAGAATATGAACATTTGGACCTTAAAATGTGGGGGCAGAGAGAACTGAGCCTGTCTGTGTAACATTGAGGTCAAACCTGCTGGACAATCCTCAGATTGCTCAGTAGTTCAAAGTTGATATAAAGGCCCATGATAAACAGGGTAATAGCCATTCCCAATTAAACACAGGACAAGGACTTTGTTTTGGCAGGTGTAACAGTTCTGGCTAAATAATGCTGGAGGTCCATCACAAAAGTGAGATTATTCTGGCTTTTCTGTCATGAAAAGGAAGTGAACTACCCCACCCCTGCGTTTCCCAACCCAGATCCAACAGACCAAAATTGATCCTGCAGTGAACAAAGATGGTACTAATACTATTTTAGGACTCAGTCTACTACACCTAAGTCCTTTTTTGAGCAAATGTTTATGATACTGCTAAGGTCAGACCATCTGCTCTGGGAAAGTCATTCTTACTATGTTTCTCAGAAGATAAAATCTCCATACTAGGCTGCCTGCTCTGCAGCAGCAAGCAGTTTAAGCAAGAAACCCAAAAATCTGCAAGTTTTTAACTGTGTCATTCTGCTGGAATTCTGGTGGTCAGATATCTGGGCTACAATCTGCATGTTATTTCAAGCTTCCTGGACTGATGAAAGCTCATCATTCTCAGATGAGGTATAAAAACTGACAGTAGTGATGAATTAATTTAAGCTGTCAGCTTCATTTATGGCTAGGTTCTTTCAATATTATTCTTCACCTTTGCATCCCCCCACCCTGCCCCAAGGGAATGCCACCACAACTGCTCTCTTTCAAAATGTCTGCTACTTCTCAGTGAAGTGAGGTTTGGAATACCTGAAGCTACTCTGCCCCTTTAACAAGAAGTTTATTTGATTTTTCTCTCTTTTGGCAAATACTCCTCTCTCAGATGGATGGTGGCCCAACAAATTGGCTATGGCTTCACAGAATAATGACTTATTCAAGTTCTCAATGAACAATGTAACAGTATCACCGATTAAAGACTTTCCCAAGTCTAGTCCAGTACATCAGATTTCAGCAGATCTTAACAAAAAGAGGAAAACAAACGGAATAACCAACCTTACTTGAGTTATAAGGTTTCTTATATGACCACTTTCTAGTTACTGTTAGTTAAGGTTATCTGATTTAATTGCAGATCCTCTGGAAATTCATTCTTTACCCAGATCACTTATATCAGCTTTGAGGCTGATGAACTGCACCATTAATACAAAACCAAGTAGAATCTTCCTTGACTGAGATCTGCAACACACCTGGCAAGCTTTCTACTATGTAGTTTATAACTGGTTTAGGTAGTATTCCAAGAGTTCTTTCTGGGTAATAAACACGTGGAGTTTAAATGTAATTAAAAAAAAAGGGGTATTTTCAACAGAGAGATTAGCTTCCTTCAGTAATGAAAAATATGATAAAATAAAACCTTTCCAGTCTACCTGAGCAGTTTTGTCTTGTATTAGCTTATGCTGGTGCTCTTCTTTACGAAGATTTTCTTCTAAGTGTTTGATCTTGTCCTGAATTTGAAAACAAGAATGATTAGTCACACTTCAGTTTGACATGCTGAATCAGAAGTCTGAAGTGGCTTGCAATTGTAATCTGGGATAAAAGAGGACCATAGGAATTTTTAAAGCCAAGACTGAAAAAAAGACTCATGCAAACGAAGCCAAGGTGGCAGTCAGTCAGATATGCTTTACGATCTTAGCATTAACAGAGGAAACTTTTGCAAAACTTAGTACTATTAACAGTATGCCACACAAATTATAGCAAATGAACAACTTTCAGACTGTAGTTTCATTCGTGCTTACTTCTGCAATCCTACGAGTAGCAGTAAGTTTAAGACACTCTTTTTCTAGCATTTTGAGATTTTCAAGTTTTGCATGCAGTTGCAACCGGTTCTGATCTTCCTCTTTCTGAAGCTGGGCCTGGAAAAAAGTAAGAAAGAATGGAGTTGGCAGCTGACTGAAATCGTTTCAGACAGCAGAAAACCAAACACACTATAGTAAAGGTGTTTAACTTGTTTAAATTTAGTATTTTTTAAATTGCAAAGTGATGAAAAATACCAGGAAGATAAAGAAGACTTAAGTTTCCAGCAGCTTTTTTGTCTACTAAATGTGCAAGTATTAGCATGGTTCTGCTCATTAAGAGTTCCACCTAGGGAGTCTTTTCATACAATTTGTTGTCATCAGTCAGTTAGACAATAAATTTCTTCCGTTTCCAACCACCCTGAGAAGAACCGAGGAAGAATGATAGCCATAAAAAAGTTCTGATCTTATGCATTTCTATACTTTTTAACTATATCAATATTTTGTCAGTACGCTAAGAGGCTTCACCTGTTGTTCTAAAACCATTTTCTTTTCCAGTTCTGCACTGGAAACCATTTCCCTCATGTAATCCAGCTGTTTCTCCAGCAGGGAGCAGCGAGACTGTGCTGCATTTAACTGCATACTTATATCTATAGAGAGAAACAAAGACATTAAGTACAGCAATAGGAGCTACACATTTAGCCAGTCTGTCACCTCTATGGAGGAATTCTCTATCTTGTAAACATGCAAGAGAATTTTGTTAGTCTGAACAAGTCATGTGGTTAAAATACATTTTATATATAAGACATGAGAATCAAAATGTTTTTCCAGAGCTAGTCCCTAATATGAATTCCAAATCTGTGAGCACTGTGGTTACTTTGATATATATCAGCAGATATCTAAACAGAATCTGCTTTCTTCCCTTCTAACTTCACTCAAGTTAGCAGTGTTATACACGTAGCAGCTGCTTGCTTATTGTAGGAGTTAAACATACCACCTGAAATCTGCTCATTCTTTAAAATAGCTTTATGGATTATGCAATACTTGGTTAATATATGTAAAAACAAGATCTCAATTTGATTCACAATTATCAGGCTCCTGCTCCTCCCCAGTTCTGAAGCAAAAGAGAAAGGGGGGGGGGGGGTGCATTAAATAGCAGTTTGTCAAAATAAACAAACACTCCCTGGATTATGCAGTGTTGGAGTTGCTGTGGCTACACCTTATCACTCAAGAGAAATACCTTTCCTCTGTTGCATCAGTTCTTGATGTGCTATGTCCTTTTTGTAGGATACGTGTTCCAAGGCCTTCTTATACTGAGAAGCTGCTATGGAGAGGCTGCACAGATTGTCTTCAGCCAGTGACTTCTCCAACTCTAGACGGCGGATCTTTTCCTGAAGAGTTTTCAGGGCTGCCACCACAGCTAGCACACAATGCAACAGTTACACCTTAAATAACAGGTCATATTACTATTATTATTATTTCTACAAAACACTTCAAACAGCAAAACACTACCTACATTTTCTTCCTAGGATCACCCCTAAAATTAATTATATTCCCCAGCAGTACACTAACACACGCAGAATATATCTGGGAGAAAATGGACATGTTTACTTGCAGAACTGAGGTATAAAGCACAGGTCCTGTGAGCAAAACTATTTTCGCTCCACAGGGTAGCAAGCACAAAGAAAACGTGGCAAACTGAATATTACAAATCCTGGGACTTCTGTTTACACAGAAGCAGGGAACACAGTTACCCAAATTAGGTCACAAGTTTTGGGTGTAATGCAACTGGTGTGGGCAGATTAAAAAAACCCAACGGACTCAGGACTGGAGGGGAATCAGATACGAAAGGACATTCTAGTGGAGGATGCATTTTAAAAACTTTATTGTTTCAAAAGGTAATTCAAGGTCTAGTTTCTTGTATTTGATGATTCTTTAAACCATAGAAATAAGCCTGCAAGATTTTGCTTTTAGCCTCAAATCAGTATGTGTCAAAATTATGCAAAAAAAAAGTTTCAATTTCAGCTACAATAAAAAGCCTACTAGCTCTCCAAAAGGTATACACACCTGTAAAAGTTTAAGACATGTTGCTTAACAAGTCAAGTTTCTTTCCTGACATTTTATAAGTCTTGATAGTTTCCCTACACCAATTCCCTCAGTAAAGAAATACCCATCAAATATTTCTAGCTCCATAACAACTCTCATCAGCTTATCATAGCCCCACTAGAATACAATTTTAAAGAGGGGGAAAAAAAAAAAAAAAAAAAAAAAAGAAGGCAAAAAGCAGAGACCAGAGAGCAGAAAGATGAAGTGGGACCCCTTCTTCCATCTTTCTATTGACATGCCAAACATTTCCTTACTAAAACACTTAGCTACATAACATTAAACTGAATATTTTAATCCAAAAAGCACAAACTCTGTATGACAAAAGATTACTACAGAAGTCACAGATTCTTCAATTGAAGAATACGTAGAATACATATAAAACATACACAGGCTATGTCTGTGCAATATTGCAAAGTTGCCCATGATCGTAAATCCAAGGATGATATCACAGAGCTCTGCAGATATGCTAAGCTGACAAGCATTTGCTCTGTGAGCTCCAGAGAGTAATCACCCACTAAAGCACACAACCACCATAGTGGGTCCCTATTTCATACAGACAAAATTTCATGGTGCTAACTTTCCTGAGAGTCTGTGTTATTCAAAAGTTCTCCCAAGGAATCATGCCACACAAAAAACCTTAGATGTGATTTTAAGACAGAGAGAGTCAAACAGCACTACACAAAGCCAATTTCAAGTCAGTGTACCATACTGATTTTTTTTTCCTGCATTTAAAGTCATGTACTGCTTCTGCTGAGTTTGAAGCATTCTCCTTTGCTTTTAGAGGAAGTCTGACAATTTTAAGTTAAACAATTTTCAAAGCCAAAGTTTATAAGGATGTTAGAAGACTTGCAGCAGTTTCCATTCCAGACATATGACTTCAGGGAGACTACTGCCTCAAGACACATATACATCCTGTCCCAATGTCAGTCTGATAATCACAGCAAGTCATTGAACTGAGTAAAACATAACAGGGAGTTTGCTCAAGAGATTTCACAGGGAACAATTAAAAAGACCACTTTAAGGACTCATTTTGGCTTTACCTTGGTTATTGGGGGTAGAAAGCCTGTCACCACCAACAGCTGTCAACTTCTTTGATTCTATATAAGCAAAGGCTGCAGGAAGCATCTTATCTGGTGGCTGAAGAAAGCTTCCTATGAAACTGTTCTTTGATTCAGAATCCATAGCCTGTAAGAAGAGAGGTATTTAATGCTATTAGCTCTTTAATGGACTATGTAACAGTTTTCAAAGTATGTCACTGGGCTGTCCCTGGCTCTGTTTACATCAAACCAGATCATGTGCATCAAGATAATAATTAAACCCCCCGCAAGCACCCCTCAGATGAATCCTGTATTTTAATGCCATTCCAAAACAATGCCCTTCCTAACACTAAATATAGCTCTCTTCGACCACCCAAAATTTTCTAAGATTTGACTTGGTGCTTTCTAATAACTTACGCTGATTTTTGTCCTCTTAAAAGCCAAGGATTTACAATATTTTCTATTATCTATTTTATAGACTTCAGTGTCTGCCTCTCAGTGCTCCCTGCAGAGCAAGCATTCCAAGTTTTACGGCCTGTTTTCATCTGCAGCCTCCTTAGTGATCTACTGCCTTTTTACATATGGCTTTATTACATAATAAAGACACAGTTCTCCACATTTAGTGTTGAGATAACAGAAGGGTATTTAATATGCAATATCCCCAGCATTCTCCCCATTATGAAGCTTATGTATTAAGTCCTGTTTCTCCATTCCCTTTCTGCCCCACCCCTTCACGTTATTTTATCAGAAACACATTTGAAGACAGCTTACACCCTCTCAGATAGTGATTTTCCTTGATAACCAAGACATGGACAGTGAAACTTGCAGAAAGTGCTTTGGTCTGATACAACCTCTAGGAAGTTAAAGCAAGTTTTAAATCGCAGTACTTAGCAAAGCAGTACCAAACATTTCACTTGATACAGTGTAAGAAATGAAGAGTATATACAGCTTCAGCTGATAGAAAAATATCTTATTTGAAGCTTCAGTGATATAACAATTATGGTATTGCTTGAGTTTAAAATACAAGGTATGCAACTGGTACAGGCTTCCCTCTTGGGCAAGGCTATTTACTGACAGGAGTTCCCAAGTAAGTTACCCAAAGGAGGTATCTAGTAACAGGAGGAAGAAACCCGAACCAAGACTGGAGGATGCTGATCAAGCACGCCCCAGGAAAAGCCATTCATACCAGGTGGGCAGGGAAGAAAGTCCTCAATAATGGAAAAAGTTTCCAGGAACAGCTCTACCAGCACTGTTTCAGAGGCCGCATAAAACACAGAAATCATCATCCATCCACACCACCTCTTCGAGATATGCACTGAATCAAAGGTACACAGAAACACTTCCTTCCTCCTCCAAGCTGTCATCATGGAGACATCGCTATGACCATTTCTTTGCCAGGGCTTGCTTGACTTGGGGCCTCCCGGACACCGCTGGTTTTGTGTGCCAGCACCCCCAGGGCGGATATCACAGGTCAGGGCAGCCCCGCTGGCACCAGCACGGCCCCCCAGACCTGCAAGAAGGGGGCCGCCCAGGCCAACCTTGCACCACAGGCCTTCTCCGGAGAGTTCCCTGTGGGGCCCCACCGCCATCTTGCCCGAGCCCACGCCACAAGCTCTCGGAACTGGGTCAGCAGCAGCAGGCAGACAGGCGCGCCGCCATCTCTGGCGAGAGGTCCCACCTCGTGACCCTGACAGATTTATGGCCACAAAAGACATTTAGGGGCCCCCCAGCTCCTTCCCCGAGGAGCAGAAAACACCGCGCAGGGACACCTGACTGATTCTAACTGCCAGCCAGGCCAGCCAGGCGTATCGGCCATTTCCAACAGCACAAGGGGCAATGGCTGTGATGGGCATGAAGCAGTGAGAAGCTGATGTCTCAATATATGGATGAGAGAGTCCTGTGGCCACAGGCAAGGGCCAGGGCCAAGACAGGAGAGGAAATGAGCCTGGCATGGCATAGTGTACTAGTACACTATTCCACAAAATAGTAAATAAGCAAGACTTATCAATTTTCCCATCGCTTCTCAACCTCTACATGTTGGTGATAAAAAAGACTAACAAAGTCCACAAAAACACACATATGCACAGGCAACAAGTTCCTACCACTGCTATGAACGACGGAAGGCAACTTTGGAAACTCCTGGGGAAGAAGGTGGTTTTTGCTTATGCCATCTAACCTTTCATCAGTCAGTGTAAGTGGAGACTTGTTTTTCCAATGTCCTCTGGTAGAAGATGGCTCCCTCGCATGCCTGCAGCTGCTATGCACCCATTAGTTTCCTTATTACTGTCACATAAACAAGTTCTGCCGTTTCCAAGGAGATGGGTTTGTGGACAGTTGTAAGGAGGGCGGTGATCCGAAGCAAATAATGAATAAGAGAGGGAGAGAATAAAACACCAGAAAACCTGTGCAGACCCACAGTTTTGCCAGCACAGCAGAGGGTAATATGCACCCTGGGGGAGCTCCCCAAGATACTCTTAAGAGCAGAGGCTCTCACACAGAAGGTGTGAGGGAATACAACAGTGCATGACCGAGACACCTATGTTTGCAGAAGCGCTGCTGTGGACATAGTTACGGATGCCTTGCTTCGCCACAGCTTCCTCAGACACTGAGACTGTGTGAAGTAGGCGGAGGGAACAGTTGCTATAGTGCTTGGAGGCTCTGCCTATGGAATTACTCCAGTAGAGGTGCTCTGGTGTAAGCAAGTCTTTTAACATCTTAGCAGGTAAATTCAGTTTATAATAACGATCCTGCACAAAAGCAATCCCTCTAACACCACAGACCTCAGGCAAGGACATATGGGCCAGGAAAAGGACCACGGAAAGGACCAGGTCACTCTACACCAGCAAGACATCAAACATCCTGACCACTTTCAGTGCACTAGGGCAAGAAATGTATGAGGAAATAATTAAGTAGCTTGATGTATGTTTGGACATCACTGTCCTACCATCAACTTTTTCCCCCACAAGTATTTAAGTCTCTGTAAAACCATCACAGGCAGGTTTGCTTTTTAAAACGTGTTACATGTCCCACAACCGTTGCAAGCTTAACCTACTGCTCTTTAATTCCATGCTACCCTGGATGTTGGTACACAGCCCTAGAGGGGTGCTTTAAGGCAGATATTGCAACCTGAATGGCAATGTTTGTACTACTGTAACTCCATGAGGCTTAGTGGGATTTAGCACTTGAACGACGCTTGTTAAAGCAGCCAAAATACTGTTGTTTAGACAAGCTTTTGGTTGAAGAAATTAGTGCACTCCTTCAAGTTTGAGGAACAGCCAAGGAAGAAGTATGTGTATTAAATGGAGGCTGACAAAATACCCTGGTTATAGGCAGAGGGGAGAAAGAAGGAAGAAATGCCCCGCTCCCACCCAGCAGCCTGCACCACTGCGAGGAGTGGGGTGAAGCACTTGCGTTGTGCAGGTTGCATCTGGAGTCAGTGCCAGCCCTTGGGGTTTTTTTAACCAGAACTGACCTAGCCTGCATTGGTGGATGCAGTGGTGATGGTCAGATGCCCGGTATTATTTCTCACAGAAAACCACAAAGTAGTCAGTTCATACATAACCTGCATCAAGTCTTGGGACAATTTAGTGCTGTCTATGGGCCTGCTGTTAACTGTCAGCCTGGCCTAGCGACCGATAACGTCTCTAAGCCTGAGGCAGGAGGCTCCTGGAGCGCAGTGCCACATGGTTGCAACCCTGTGCACAGTGCATGGTGCCAGACATAGCAAATTAGCTCTGTGACAGCACTGCACTAACGCAATGACACTGCCTACCTCTCACCTTGCTGCAGCCTGTGTGCTCACCCTTTGGGTGCGAGGATGAGCAGAGCCAGGCCCTTCAGCAGGACCGCTTCTGCCTGTTGGCTCACCATCACATGCAGGCTGGGAGAGAGCTGGCACAGAGGCTGTTGGGGAGCAATCCCACCCTTGGGTCCATACCTGTTTATGTGACCTTCATGCCTCAGAGGAGAGCAAGCAAGCTGGAGTTTGGTCCCTTAAGACAAACACAGAACTTCCCATTTCATCATGGTCATGTAAGTAACAATGTGATCTACCTTTACACTATTTATATTTATTTTTGCCGAATGTGGTCTGCATTGAGTGCCAGAGTACTGGATTGGGCTGCCATAAAAATCAATTGAAATTTTAATTACTGCTGCCTCGCACAAGTAAGCATGCCAATAGTAGGGAGTTATCAAACACCACTAAAATCCTAAATATCACAGAAAGACCATTTATGACTTCCTCATCCTCCTCCATCCTGTTCCTCCCCTTCATTGCTAGCGACATCATTAAAAAAGTTTTTAAAAAATTTCTTTTGAAGTTAGAAGTCCAAAAATGTTTTGCCACACATACAATTATGTCCCATATTGTAAAGCAGCATGTGGAAAAGCTTTTTCCAAATGTGAACTATAGCAGATTCAGGGAATAATGCTTGCTTAACAGTTTCCCAAAAGATATACACTAAGGGAACAATGTGGTAATGTAAATGTTGCTTCCACTAAGTTTTCCAATGTTTGTTTTCTTGCAGAGATTCTGATTCACTCAAATCACTGTGAGGGCAACCTTTTAGAACCAAAGAAAAGAGGTGCTGTCAGAACACCTTCAAAGAAGAAAAAGAAAAAACAGATCAAAGCATTTTTCAGACAGAAATACAAAGATAACTATCTTCTGACCTGACCTACTGGGCATGCACGATTTATAGTGGTTTTTTTAGTAACTAAAAGCAAAGCCTCGGATGAATCAAGGAATGATTCACTGTTTATCTGACATATTATAAGAGAAATTTGAAAGAATTTCCCCAACACAGGCTATACCAAGAAACTCCCAGAATGCTGGCTGCCACCCTGTCTATTTGAGCCAAGCCTTGCTGGTGAAAGGTTATGTGAGAGGCCATTTTTGTGACACAATCCAAATTGGTCTATTTTTTCCCCCCTTTCATTTTCCTTTGAGAACCATGGAAAAGCTTGGTCAGCTATACTAGCTGTGCTGCAATGCTCTTTCAGTCTTATTCCCGACAGACAAAGAACAGCCCTTCCACTGACCAAAAGAAATAAATAATGTTGTAGCAAACTGCATTGTTGTTTTGGGAACACCCAGTCTCTAGCATCCTGACACAACTGCTTTAATCAGCCTGAAGCATATGACCTTGCTCAGGATGTATCTAAGTAACTGGTACTCATGTGCCTTCTTTAATCTAAGCGGGTTAGAAATAAAATGGTGTCAGCTGCAAAACTAACAGGAAGTGAAACCTCACTGAATCAATAAGGCATTTCAACATGTTAAGTTCTGTCGAGTCCCACTTTAAATGAGCTTAGAACAAATGACTAAAATTTGTTAGAGAAATTAAGGAACTTGGGAGTTCTCTGAAACACTGACACTGCCAAATCCATGGGAGTTAGTTTGTTGTACAAACTGCGAGATGCAAACTGACCATCTCAGAACTGGATATATAAAGGCTAAGTGCCCAGTTTCTTCTTTGATAATACTGTATAGCAAAACCTATTAATTCCTGAATTGCAAGTCTTATGCAGAACTTACATACAATCATTTTTTTTCAGTCTCGGAAGGAAAAAAAATTACATTCTGTGTTTTCTCATGACACTGTATGTACTGTGAAGTATGATAAAACCTGGTATTTTAATGAAAAACCTACCTGCTAAGCCTTATATTTCATTGTGTCACACCTTCTAAGCATTCATACTGATATTTCTCTAGTTCCTGTTTGCTAGAGATAAGACAGTGAACAAATAAAAGAGAAAGAAATACAATGGAATTAGTTACACAAGTATTTTGGGAACAAGGCAAAGAAATAACCAGGTGGGAAAAACCAGAGATTTTTAAAAGGCAATTTTTTTAGGAATAGGTCCTAACCTGACAGTGTAGCAAGTCAGTTTGGGTCATGTCATTAAGAGTTTTGCTGTTTTCTTCAATGAGCGTAGCAGATCCAATTCCTCATTAAACTGGGCCTTCATTAATAGGTGCATGATAAAATCATATTCAGTACTTTGTGGGGAAATCAACTTGGTGCAAACTGCTTTAACCAGATGATAACTGAATTGAGCATTCAGAGGAGCAAGACTGCAAATTCCTATCTAGTAACAATTGCTAAGCCAGCATGAAAGCATCTGGCTTGGACTATAGTGTTATCAAAATAATTACATTTCTAAGTCTTTAATCAGTCAAAAGTAATTAAATATAACCTTTTTGTAATAAACATCAAACACAAAACCAAATACTATAAATGGTCACTAATATATTTCCACACTTCTCTCCTAGTTCTGTTCCTCTCATCTCCTTTCATCCACCCTCATGTTATAGTTGCTTTTTCTCCCTCATCTCCTCTCTTTAACTGTATTTACACCATTGTATAGCTTTCTTCCTTGCTCTTCTCCCGTTGGTATTCTTTTTCTCCCTCTCCCTCTTTTAGCATAAAAAGTTAGGGTTTTTTTCAAAGTGAAGAGAGACATTTTTTCCCACCCGAGAATAACTACCAAAGTTCTTCCCTTGATACTTAGGATCCAGTTCCAACAGATGCTGTTTGCTCTTAGTACACTGGCTGATGTAGAAGTTGAAGGTGTTCTCCTCAGCACTCTACGTGAAGAATGTAAAAACTTACTTTTTCTCCCCACTTATTATCTGATGATGATGCCATCACACTGTCTTCCATATGTAGTTTGCTTAGCTTGGTCACCTCACTCTCAAAAATCTGGTTTTGGTCATTAAATTGGAGGCAGCTCTCATAGTTTTCTAGAGAGCAAAGCAGAATACGTGTGTGCCAAGAGACTGGAAGGCAGAAGGAAATTACTGGCGCTGGCTGTTGACCCTTGATTAAAAAGAGGAAGACTTTGCTTTTGTGGAAAGGGAAGGTTTTCAAGGGCAACTGTCTCCCATATAGAAGACTGTGAATCTGTGCACAGGCAGAATAATTAGAGATTAGAAGGGCAAGTGCAGAAAGGAAAAGACATATTAGGGTAGGGTGGGGCAAATGTGAGAGTGGGTTGACATGACAATCATAGTGAAGAAATATAATGAGGTGGGGGATAGTTATTGCAGGTACTGACTCATTCACAATAAATGCTTTTACTGCATGATAATTTTCACCTTTTATGTCTCAAATATTTAATAGGATCATTGAAAGATGGTTCTGAACGTTGCAGCTTGCCCTCTAGGCAGATAAAATCCACAGATTGTGTCCCCACCGTTGTCTTGGAATTTATTTTCAAAGTAAACTTCTGTTTTTACTAATACTTTTTCAGAGAAATTGTCAATCTCTTCATCCAACATCCTTTAACCTAGCATGAAGATGGAGTAGGAGGTAGATTTTTAGCCAGATAATTAGAAGACCATGACATGGACAGGCAGAGAAACACAGAGAGGGTAATTGTTCATAGGATTTGTCTTCTCTTACCTACTACCACCCCTACATTTTTTTTTTCTCCACATATTCTTGTGCTGCTGCTAACTAGGCATCTGGCAGGGAACAAGAACGCCATTCTGCATTTGTATATCAAGCGACCTAATAAAAAGAAAGAAAAAAAAAAAAAAAAAAACCAAACCCCAAACCTAATAAGGAAAATATAAGTTTCACTCCTGGCAAGAAATTATTCAAAAGTCATCTTTTGTCAGCAACAGTTATCTTTAAAGATGCAGAAAAACTGCAAGCAGACCTGAGTCAGAACAACTCCTCAATCTTATTTTGGACACTTACTTTCTGGAAGAGCATTTTAAAATAATATCATCTGTTTACATGACTCAGAATATTCATAGCAACTCCAACACATCCACATTGTGTATCCCAACCAGGCACAATATCCTAAGTACCAATGCCAAATAATTTGTATATTATACAGTATAATCAGTACTCAAAAATGCAAAAATGGTCTATCACTACTTCTGCCCTGAGTTGTCTGGGAAAACTTAAAACATTAAACATTCAAAGCTATGCTACAGAATACTTGTTTCATGCAATCTGTGTATTTAAACTTGCATGACTTCAGAGATGCTGAAAAAATCCGAGGAAGCTGCTACAATGTTAAATATATAAAACTAACTTCAATTGATTGTAAATTATTTAAGAGACATCTCTTCCCTAATAACTAGATATACAGTTTCTGACTGCAAGGTAATCTAGTGGATCTCTAGGGACTTGACTTAAATTCTTGCTATTCTGCGTGACCTTAATAAATCACAGAGGGATGGGACTGATGTTCCAGGATAGGTAAGCCTTCCAGTAAAAGAAGTGCAGGTATATGGCCAAAACAAGCAGCGTGCTCTCTGAGGAGCTAACAGAAGCTGTGTGCTGGGAAACTCTATGGACATACACATGTGAAGTCCCACCATGGTGCTTGGCACCTTTGTGCTCTCAGGACTCTGAATTTGGAGTCCTCTTATGGCAGTGAGTGCCAAAATCTGTTCTTTAAAACAATGAATAAAGAGCCCCTGTCAGTTCTCTGGTCTGTGACTTCATTTCATGTAGCTGCTGGCCACAGCATTTTTCTTTGTTATTACAGGAAAACACCAAGGTCTGTGTTAACGGCCTGCCAAAGGTGTTTAAAAGTCCTGTTGGGCTGTAAGTAGATAAAAAATTCCCAATAAGCAATGTTCATTTTCTTTTAAAGTGTAGCTGGAGGAAACAGTGTCCATCTTCTCTATGCTGTTAACCGGTGGTTAGAGCATTGGCAAGGAAGTGGGAGTTCCGGGGGAGCATTCATGCCGCATCCCTGACCACCATGCTAGACTGGCAGGAGGAAGAGCAGGAAGGAAACACGGAGTCACCACCTTTTCATTTGAAGTTATGACCCTGTTCAGAAAGGCGTGTAAGACTCTAGGACAAGGAGAAGGCAGCTGAGGCAAAAGACAGAGTAAACAATGATGTGTCTCTCTCATCTAGTTTAATCGGCAAAAGAGAGTCCTGGGTTTTATTTTTTTGTAGCAAATAGATCCTGAATAAAAAACAGGACTGGCTTGGGAATGGCTACCAGAAACCAGGAGTAGGTGCCCTGTGTCTCCTTCCTTCTAGTTCATACCAGGGCCACACATTTCCTTCCCTTTCCAGCAGGGACACAACTTCAACAGGTGAGGTGATGAATGCTTCCCTTCCATTTCACAGTCCTTCTGAGCACCTGGGACACTCTCCTGGGAGTTACAAGAATTTGATGTAAATCCCTGTGAGTTAAAAGCCGATTCTCTCACCACTGGGTTGCTGCACTGAAGGTGAGCACTCTACCAAATATGGCCAGGCACTGAAGCTGTGGCTATAACAGAAGAACCTGACTTGTTGGGCTCGGAGAGGTTCCTCTCAGCTGGACCTCTCCTGGAGCTGTTCTACCTACTTCCTAGACCACAAGCGGGCACAAAGCAGAGAGACGTGCCAAGATGCCCAGCTTAGGGCAATTCTGGACATTTCTATCCAGAAAAAGACTCAGAGAGTTCAGGTGACTGCTCAGTGGAGTTTTTCGGATCTGAATTTTTAGTCTACCCATACATTTTTCCATGGTCTAGCCCTTAGTCTTTCAGGCTACACTTATACAGTTAAATGGAGTACAGTCAGAGAGTGAGCGCAGTACAGCAGGACTTCAAGCAGCCTGTAGTTCTGGTACATCATAGCCCAGCTCTTCTCAAAGCAACTCACCCGTCAGCATAAAACTACTCCATAGTCTTTCTGTGAGAAATATTTGGTCTCCTAAGAAGAAGCCAGTGGCTAACTTACACATCCCTGCTGCATTTGTGACCCCTAAGGAGGCAGGGTGGCAGAGTTTGGTGCAAATGTACACATGCAATCCACAGTAGGCCAGAACACATTAGATGTACAAACATGTGCTCAGAAGTAAAACAAGGCCACATTTTCTCTCACATCTTACACTGTAGCTTGCTTGATCATTGAGGCCAGTCTGATTGGATGATACATGAGTCTGGGCTTGACACCAAGACTGGGCCTGGGTGCTAAGACAGTAGAGGAGTAACCTCTGTCTTTCTGGTGTCTCTCTGCAAAACAAGTCACAGAACTTTGCTTCCTCAGAGCGCTGCTGTGAAGAAAAAGCATTAAATGCTGTAGAGTGCCCAATTGTTCCAGCAACATGCCAAAACCCGTATCTAAAAGGGAAGGGTAAACTTTGAGAAGAGAGCAATCCCATCCTAGGTATTTACTAGTTGGGCTGAAATAAGCCTCAATAAAACCAGGTGTAAACAAAAGTGGTTGAAGGAATCTAATTTAAAAAGCAGTTCCTTCTAAGTTGCACAAGTTTTATTGTGTTATTGCTAGTTTTTCAGTAATCAGCTAAGTGTATTCTGCAGCAAAGTGCTCTATTGTGACATACAGAAACTGGAAAACACTTTAAAAAGTAAATCTAATATAACTTAGATCTTACATTTTAGAAAGGACATGAATACAACTACTATATATTGTATTTGCAAAAAGTAATTCAGCTGTTGGATATCATTTGCATATGGCTACAGAAGTGCTTATCTGGTTAGAAAAAGAGGGAAGTTGATATATCATTAAGGAAGGAAATACTGAGGTTTAAAACGGCCACAAATTTGTTTTTCTTCAGCTTATCATTTCAAAAACTCAAATGCTGTAATTCTGGATGAGTTGCCAGATTGTTTCCTTCATAATTCTGCCTTTCTCTTATCCATTCTTCAGGGATCAAAAGCATATTAACTTCAGTCAGTGAACACTCAAATGAAACAAATACATTCCCCCAACTTCTGTCTCTGATTAATTCCACCGGTAGCCTTTGACCTTGATTTCCACAATGTCTTGCAGTACATAAAGAAGCTTGACGTGGTATCGGAAAGCTGCAGAGATTTGGTTTGGAAAAAATAAAGCCACCTTCATCTCCATTACCAAAGTACTACATTAAAATCTATAAAACAAAGGGCTGAAATCTGAAGTTTAGGCCTTGGAGCCAGTTTCACAATCTGTTTCCTGTAGCCAGTTCATTTGCAGCCAGTGGAAAAAAACAACTTCTAAAAGATAAAAGGCAGTGCTGTGACTTTCAATCAATCTTAGCGTTCGGTGTGGGAGTATAGCCATACCAAAGTCTAAAACCAATGCTTTAGTTCTGATTCTGGTTCACTTTATTGATCTCAGATGTATGTAGCCACTGTCAGAGACATCCAGCAAGTGCAAACTTATTGTGGGAAAAATGAGATCTATTCAACTTCTGAAGATCAAAATTTAGATAGAAATAAAGCAAGTAGGTGTGACATGCCTATTCACAGGAAAACTGGGAGACCATGACGAGTGACGACAGAATGGGATGGGAAACTGAAGTGGTAGCTAATGTAAAAAGAAAAAAAAAAAAAAAAAAAGAAAACATAAAAGGCACTGGAAGAATTATTTTCTTTGAACACATCAGTTATGATGGGTGGAGGCCTTGAGTGCTTAGAGAAGTCAAGACTCACATTTATTACAGGTAGTGATTACTTCAGTAGATATATTGTTCACAAGGGTGCCAAAGGCCTAGAGGAAGCAGCTGCAAGCTGCACAAAGCAGTCCAGGCCTGTCCACGCTGCCAAACAATAGCAACACAGACTCCTTGTAGAAAGGATTTTATGGGAGATTGGTCTTCCTTGAAAGGTACAGGTAATGATAGAATGACACTTATTTTGCAAGCTTCAGAGAAACCATGCCAGAAAACAAAAGGAATGTCAGATGAAGAAACCAGATTCTTTACAAATAAAAGAGCTGTTGATGGCTGGTGTGGCTGAGCCAGCCCAAGCTCTGTTCCTGGACTCAAAAACAGTTTGTGTCTTTCTGTGGTATACGAGTAACTTTTTCTGCATTTCACTTCAGTTTGGAGGTATGAATTTTAGAGTGGGAAGTGTGTACATGAGAAACATAAAATACATATGCAAGTCCCTACAGGTCCAATGTCCTGTTTCTAATTTTCTTACAAGTGTTCTTCTGCCTTTTAGTATACTCAAAATTGTAGTTTTGTGATTGCTTTAATGTGACAGCTGCAAATGGGTGGTTCTGCCCTTGTTTCCCTCTCCTCTTCTCTGCCAAGAGGTAAATTAGATCAAGGAACTGACTTGGCTGAAAATTAACTTTATCAAAAAAGCACATTTTTTCCCTGCAGGAAAAGCAAGGGAAACAGCAATACCAGCCCATTTGGTGAGAGATTAATCACGGAATGGTTGAGGTTGGAAGGGACCTCTGGAGGCCATCCGGTCCAACCCCCTGCTCAAGCAGAACCAGCTACAGATGGTCACCCGGGACCATGACCAAATGGCTTTTGAGGATCTCCAAGGATGGAGACTGGGCAACCTCGGCCAGTGCCTGGTCACACTCACAGTGCACAAGTGCTTCCCAATGTTCAGAGGGAACCTCCAGTGTTTCACATTGTGCCCACTGCCTCTGGTCCTGTCACCAGGCACCACTGAGAAGATCCTGGCTCCCTCATCTTTGCACATTACCTTCAAGTATTTATATATATACATGGATAAGATCCTCCTGAAGCCTTCCCTTCTGCAGGCTCATCAGCCCTATTTAGCATAATTTGGATTAAAAAAACTTGGATTAATTTGGATAAGAAGTCTGTGGAACTGCTGCCCATTTGAATACTCTAGGGATATCCTCCCCCCTTTCATTTCAAGCGTTGAAGGCTCTGTACTCCACTTGCATCGATTGATTTTCCTCCCTGCTGATGTGTTTACTCACGCTACCTCAAAGGTTTCTCTAGAAGCGTGTCTCTGGCAAGGCTCTGCAGTTGCTTAAAACACGTGTGCGCTTCGTTTTTTTTTTTGCCAATACAAATTTCTGAAGCAAACCCGCCGCCGGGATCGCTTTATTCCTGGCTGCTGCCAGCCACCTGCTTTCGATAACCTGCTGCTGCTGCTGCGGCGGAACACCACAGAGAAGAAAAGAAGAAAAAAAAAACAAAAAAAACCCAAAAAAACCAAAACAAAACCAACCACAAACAAAACACCAAAACCCCCTACCCAAACTGACAAAAAACCCCAACATCACCGAAACGGACCTCTGTGCAGAAACGGGAGCGACCGCTGCTGCTTACCCTTCCGCGGCGGCCTGCGGCAGCCAGCAGAGCCGAGAGGCGGAAGCGGCGCGCCGCGCTGCCTGCCGGGACATGTAGTCCTCCTGCATGGACGCAGCGCCGCCCTTCGGCCCGGACTACACATCCCAAGGCTCCCTCCAGGAGCTGCCGCTCCCCGCCGCGATTGGGCCGGCGGCAGCCAGTGCTGAAAGGCGATTGGCTGACGGGCGCGCCCGTCATGGAGGAGGCGGGGTGTGTGTGTGTGTGTGTGTGTCCCCGCGTTGGGCGGGGTTAGCTCCTGCCCATCCCTGTCCCCCCTCCCCGCGGGTGAAGGGTTCGTCGGGGGTTTGTGGTGGGTCGGCCCCGACGGGGAGGGCTGCTGAGGGCGCCGCTCCGGAGAGGCAGAGCCGGAGCCGTCCCCTTCCCTCCATGCCTGGGGTGGGGAGGAGGAGCTGCCGGCGCCGCGGGGTGGTGGCCGCCCCGCTCCCCGCCGGGAGAGGCGAAGCCCCAGCGGCGTTGCTCGCTCGGCCGCCCCGGCGTCGGTGGGCGGCGGTTGGTGGGGGCGCCCGCCGGGGCTGAGGGAGCTCCCGCCCGCCCTGCCCCCCATGCGGCGCAGGCAGCGGTCTCTCCGCTCGCCGCCGCGCTTGTCGTCTTTGTGGGCGGGTTGGCGGCTGCCAGGAGCCCGCCATGGGGCGGCCGTGCCGGGGCTGCTGAGGCGGCGGTGCGGGAGCAGCCGGGCGGCCCCATGGAGGAGCGGGAAGGCGAGGTGCGCTGGGACGGGCTGTGCAGCCGCGACGCTGCCGCCCGCGCTGCCGCCTTGGACACCATCGGGCAGGCCGTTCTCCGCCGTAGCGAGACCATCGCTCCCGTGGCGGCCGTGCCGCCCACCCGGGCCGCCGACGGGCTCCTGGCTCCCGCCGCCCGCGACGGGCTGAGCGAGGTGCTGGCCCGCCTGCTACTGCTCTCCAAGCGCTGCCCCTTCCCCGACGTGAGGGAGAAGAGCGAGGCGATCCTCAGCGGGGTGCAGGTAAGCAACGGCAGACCCCTCCTCCGCCGTGGGACGGGGCTCTCCCGCCCACGTCCCGCGCAGGGCACCCTCGGCTTTCGGCTGCGCACCCGGGTGGGCGTCTGAGCCGGGCCGGTCAGGTTTGTTTCGTGCAGTAATGCATGCTACACGTCGTGTGTAGCGTCGCACCCACCCCCCCAACCCCCCCCACCGCAAAGAAACATTTGGAAAAGCGTTATTAAAAGGCAGGGGGGAAAAGCGTTATTAAAAGGCAGGGGGAAAAAGCGGCAATGTTTCGAGCGCAATCCGGCGGGAGAGGATTTAGCCATGAATGGCTGGAAAGTAACTGATCCTTGAGGCATCCTGAAGAAAGTGCTAAAATGACAACTTTAATGCTTTGGTTTCGATCAGCATGACCAGGGCTGTGGTATTACCAGTTGGCTTTAATACAAAAGCAGGAAAGATTTTGGTATAAACATTCAGGGCTGCCAATTTAAAATATAAATCGGTATGGGACGTTTTGGGGCTTTTAAAAGCTGTGTGGGCATTAAAGTAGAGCCTCTCAAAATTCTCTTTTTGTTGTTCATTGGTAAATAGTTTCTGCGCTGGAATCGGTAAGATCCAAGCTATTTTTTTATATTTTATAGGCGGTCTAGCCAGTAGAGGATTACATTCGCTGACCTTTTATGCTAACAAAAATAAATGTTACTTTGTACTCTTCCACTGTTACAGTCTAATTATAGTTACTCGCAGTGCAATTCTCTTGCTCACGTAAAGTTTTTTTGTGCAGGTCTTGAAATTCTAATGCGGGGCTCATATCAATGGGTCCAGCAGCACTGCTAAAAATATTTCTAGCTGCAGAGTAGGAAAAGCAAATTTAAGTATCTTTTTTAATTACAAGTGAATACATATTGCTGTGCTTGGAGTTAGCTGCCTGATTCCCACTATTGTGCTTTTTCTCCCTGAACATTAACAGGTTTAATATAGGGGAATCTGTGGGGGGGAGGAAAGAAATACATAAACATTATCTATATAATAATAAAAAAATACACACATGTATGTATTATACATAAAACACTGTATATTGCAATGTATATAAAGATACACGTATATAAGTATTTTGAAGGAACCTGTATATAGATCCATTTTTGTTCTGTCCTACTTTGAAGTGGTTCAGAGAAATTCTGGGTTTGAATTATTAAAGCTCAGAGAGGCTCTGTTTATTCTGTTTGACTTCTTAATAGTGTGCAATGTGATAAATACAGTATAATTTATTTTATACAGGCTCTATGGGGCATTTTTCTCAAAGCAGATTTGTCTGTAGAAGCTATAAATACAACATATGGTCTATGTGAAAGGCTTGACACCCATATTGCTTTTCTTTAAAAACCCAAACCACAGAACAAACCAAAAAAACCTGGACTTGAAAATTAAGTTGACAACTTAATCAGGCACCTTTGCATCAGCATCTTCCCTGTTAAAGATTCAAGAGAGAAGTGAGCCCGTTACCAGTGAGACTGATGAGTCACTGGGACAGACTGCTAAGGGAAGACTTGCTTTTACCAGGCACAATTTAGCAGACTCTATTCAAAGGCCAAACAGGTGGTGATCTCTCACCCAAGTCTTGCAGGAGGTCAGAATATATGATCTGATGACTCCCTTGTAGGTTTTTATATATGAAGTTACTGGTATGTCCAACTATTAGTCTTCTTTAGAAACTTTGTTACTAGATTTTTTTTTTTTTTTTTTTTTTAAATAGGCCAAAAAGTTCTGGCAGACAGTGAGTCCATCTTGATATAGCAAGTGCAAGGTCAAATCTCATGATTGTAGCTGGCTTGATTAATCAAAATAAAAGTGAAAGATGTAATAGATATAAAACGGATTGTATACACACAAGCTGCAGTAAAGGTTTAACAAGTTATGCTGTATCCGATTTTATTTTGCTCTTCTTTGTTCTTTTTAGGGAGTAGATCTAAGAGAGAAGTATTCTATGAATATAAAGTGGCAATTCTTAGTTCTTATGGCTGTACTCATAAACGAACGTTTTCATTGTAATCCTTGGATCTGCATTTGTGGAAGAAATAATCCAATCCAAGTATTCCATTTTCAGTGCTGCAGACTGTTGTCGGGTGTGAAATGGTTTTCTGTTGTTTTCATGGCCAAGAGGAATTTTAACTAAATCTCTGCAATGAAGATGGCAGATAAAGAAAACTAGTAAATTAAATATAATTACCCCATAGAACTTGTGGGTTTCAGAAGTGATTTGAAAGGTAAATAGCTTAGTACCATTATAAAAATGTGGAATCCTATTAATATCAGCATCAGGAGTCCTTAAAGAACTCACTTGTATCACTTTCCTTCCCTGTTTTGGGATATGAAATAATCTTTAAGTCCACAGCAATATGTACCATTATGCTGTCTAAATGTTATTCTCTGCAAAGTTATTAAATGACATAGATCCCAGGGCAGGAAAGGCAACTTTGGACCCAAAGGTTCTTCTGGGAACTGGCACTGCCCCCCTCTCTCCTGTGGGATTTGGACTAGCGTCAGCTCGGATTGATTATCTGCACACACCCCCCCCTTCCCCAAATGGAGAATTGTAAAATGTGCTTTCATCATCTTTCTGCCCTGCGTCTACAATAGGTCAGTAAGGAAATCAAATATTTGAATTTTCCATATGGTCCGACAGCTGTTTCTTTCTGGGGCTTAATGCTCTCTTTGCCTCTTGGGGTAATCAACAAATATTTAGGCATAAGCAACTATGCTGCTGGTGTTTTTGCAGCTTTGTGTCTGGAGCAAGTTGGTAGAATGCATTAAATGGCTGGTGTAAGCTGGTAAGCTGCAGGCTTGGCAGCAGCCTGTGTCAGCGTGGCATCCCTCTAAGCCTGCCTTTGTTATGGTCTTTTTTTTTTTTTTTTTTCCCTGGAGAAAAATTCCTCTGAAATATGGTGGAATCCTAAGTGTGCAACTTTATTCTTTGCTATTAATAAATAGTATTGTCTGCATCAGAAGCTATAAAAATAAATTATTGCTTAATGTAAATTCCTGTTGATTTATATTCAGGATAATGAGTTTCTTATTGTAGGGTATATCTATTTATATATATAAAAATAATAATATATATTTTTTTAGCCTAAGAGAATATATCTAATTTCTCATTTAATGAGACATGTTGTTTTTGTAAAAATTATTACAGAATATCAGCAAACTAGCCCCCTTTTTTCTAATTGAGACTTTCTTGCTTTTATTAATAAAAGGTTGCTAAAGTCACCTTGATCAAATATATGTATTTTTAAATATTTTAAAGATATTTCAGATGTAATGCTTTAACCAAGAGAAAATAGTTTGAATGTTTTCATATAAAAATATTTGATGAATGTTTTTGAGATAAAGCCCCAAATATATCGTAGTTTTTTGAGAATATCTTGCATATGTGGTATTTTGCACATATTTAAAGCATATTGCTTATGACCTTAGAGAATAGGGGGTCATTCCACCTATTATGGGGAATAATAGGGGAATTATGGGGAATTCCACCTATATATGGGGAGCGAACAGCAGTGGAAGTTCTTAACACATGATCGTTAAAGGTATTCTGCCCAGCCTCAATCAGATCAATTAAATGCATGTATAAATACATTTACAGGAATATAAATACAAGGTGTACATCAGTAGCTGGAGAAGAATCATTGAAAGTATGAGATTTGGTAGTTACAGTCCCTCTTAACCATCCAATCACTTGGAAAAGACTGAGCTGAACATACTGCTCTGCTATGGTATGTAAATTCATAAAAATAGTCTTTTAGATTAACAAAGAGAACACATCGATGTGAGGCAGGTTCTGCAGGAGTGATGTTAGCCTACATAGGATAAAACATGACAGAATAGCAGAATAAAACCCACAAATGTAAAAAAGCTTAGGATTTGGCATGTAAAGCTTGGTGGGGGGCAAATATAAGGAAGACAGAAACTGGTCTCAACTTCTTTGAGAAGTAATGTAGTAGTACCAAACACTTTAATTGAAGGG